AAAGGGAAGATTCAGTTTCTAAGTGCGATGTTTAAAAATTTCAGGAGAAATAGATACCCTGGTATCTAGTATTCATGGCAAATCCTTGAAACACTGTCATGAATTTAAAAATAAATGACACAGCAAGAAATAACAAGTGTAGGGGTTGGCCCAGTGGTGTAGTGGTTAAATTCACATGCTCTGCTTCAGCGGCCCAGGGTTTACCCATTTGGATCCCGGGTGTGGACCTATGTACCACTTATCAAGCCATACTGTGGCAGGCATCCAACATATAAAATAGAGGAAGATGGGCACAGATGTTCACTCAGGGCCAATCTTCCTCAGCAAAAAGGGGAGTACTGGCAGAGCATATTAGCTCAGAGATCATTCCTCAAAAAAAAAAAAAAAGAACCAAGTGTTGGTGAGGCTATGAAGAAAACGGAATCCTTCTGCACCGTTGACGGGAATGTAAACTGGTGCAGCCACTACAGAAAATAGTATGAAGTTCCCTCAAAAAATAAAAATAGAACTACCATATGGCTCAGCAATTCTACTTCTGAGTATATATGCAAAGAACAAGAAAACACTAATTCAAAAAGATATATACAACCCTATGTTCACTGAGCATTAATTACGAGAGCCAAGATATGGAAACAAACGAAGTGTCCATCAGTGGATGAATGAATAATGATGTGGTGTATATTTATACACTGGAATACTACTCAGCCATAAAAGAGAATGAAATCGCCATTTTCAGCAACATGGATGGACCTGGAGGATATTATGCTAAATGAAATAAGTCAGAGAAAGTAAAATTCTGTGTGATTTCACTTATTGTGGAATCTCAAAAGACAGAAACAAACGAACAAAATAAAAACAAACTCACAGATACAGAGAACAGATTAGTGGTTACCAGAGGGGAAGAGAGTTGTGGGGTGGATGAAATGTGTGAAGGGAGACAACTGTATGGTGATGGATGGTAATTAGACTGCTGGTGGTGATCATTTAGTAGTGTATACAGGTGTAAAATTATAAAGATGTACACCAGAAACTTATACAATAAAAAATAAATGACACAATATCACAATGATTTGAACTTACTTCTCTAGTTGAGGATTTGTGTAAAGAATATACTGCTGTTCTTGCCATTTCCAAGGCAGTCTTCAGAAATGCCATATCTGTCCCTAAGAGTAGAAAAAGTTCCGATTTACATTATATACCTGTTGTCAAAATAGAAGCTTAAATGATTACCAGGTATTTAGAAACATTTTTTCCAAACTCCAAAACAGCCATTTTGAATTCTTTCTGCAATAAGGTAGTGCACAAATAAGTAAAGTATCTAAATACCTTTTAAGGTTGATAAGCTAAAACCAGAATTATACTGCCTTGGTTAAATAAGGCTAAAGTAAACATTTTAGTATCATATTCCCAATTAACGATTTTCAAAGAGGGGAGAAGGGAAAGGACAGAGTAGTAATCAGAATCAGGCGAGAGGTGGAGGGAGAACTTTTAAACTATGCAGGTCTTTTTCCCCATCCTACTGACTTCCTACCCTCCTTGCCTGCAGCATACAAAAAATAAATAGCCACAGTGAGTCACTGATGGACACATGTTGAAACCTTGGGTGTGCTAATGCATTAAAAATAGGTTCTAAAGTATAAAATCCTTTATAGGATTCATCATCATTCATAAGTATTAGGTAAATCATTCTTGAAACCTGATGGAATATAAATAAGTGAAAAAAAAAGACTTTATTCACTTAGAACAAATTTGTGAAAACAAAGACTGAAAAATTCAATTCCCTATCCATGCATTAAACAAATTGAAATTGTAATAACTGTACAGGTAAGAAATTTGTTTATTTAATAAACTATGATAAAATCACTTAACCCAAGGAAAATGATATTTAAAACTTAGTTTTTTATAAATATACCAGTACACCTGATTCTTGTTACTAACCTTTATTATTTTTGGTCCCAAAGGGAGGATTCATAATTACTGTATCAAATGACTTGGACATTCTGTTAGATAATGAGCACACATCACATTGAATCATGTCAACATTTGTTAACTCAAACTCTTCCACATTCCTATTAAATATCTCCAATGCATCTTCATCTATGTCAAATCCAACACACAACCTATAAATACAAAACGCAGAGTGACTACTTATAGCTCCCAAGTCAAAACAACAAAACTAAAACCGTAAACCTTTTTAATCCAACTGGCAAAGTAAGAGTGAGTGTTGCCTTTCAACAGCATGATTTCCCAACTTGGCAGGGGATGGAAACTCAGGTTTGTATAAAAGGGAGGCATCTGACTACTGCTGTTACCGTTGTTTTTTAGTTTGTTTTGATGATCTGCCCATTCAAGATATACTCAGAGAATCTTGCTCCTCTCATCTCATACTGTAGAATCCCATAAATATAATTCAGTTAATCCTATTTAAGTTTCTTATTAAAGCCACCTCATCCCCAAATAGTATATACTGGGTCACCTACCCTGCTCCTAACATTGCAGTGCCGATGCTGAGCACTCCACAACCACATCCTAGATCTGCAACCACTTTATTTTCAATGTCATCATATGTGTTATGGATTGTATACAGCATACATGCTAAAAGATCAAAAAACATATTAGGGAATAAGTAAGCAAGTTGATGACCAAAATCCAATTTGTGCAAATGACTCTTTCTAAAATAATTTCTTGTCTTGCATTATTTAGTCCTTCTCCAAATATTGTTACAGATTATTTTAAAAACATAAGGTATAGTAACTTGGTATGCAGCAAGAGGCCCCACAAAGGCTAGTAACATTATCAGTGGTTCCCAAAAACTTGTCTCTGCTGCCAATGCCAAGAATGACAAAACTTTTAGGTAAAATGGGAAAAATAAGGTCAAAATATTTTATTTTTCCTCAGCCTATTCAAAACATTGCCATACATACATACATATATATATCAGTTCTTTCTTTGATGTTGGAATATTATTTTTATGAAAGGATGGTAAAGAGTATATAGGTTTTAAGAAATCTTTCCTTGTCAGAATATAAACTTGGCAACCCTATTATCAGTCTCCAAAATTGTTTTGAAATTTTACTGATCTGTGAAATCTGAGAGTCTGGGAAACACTAATATCAAACAAGCGTTAACACTCAAATGGCACAGAACTTTTTTGCAATAAGTTTGTCACTGGAACATAGGTGACGTAAGTTCAAGCTAGAATAGGAAAGAAGACCTACATCCACAATATAGCCTTTAGTCACATATATTCAGACATATATTCATGATCTACAGACACATATATTCATAATATACTAATGAGACCTGATAAGAGAACTATTGAGGAGCAGAGCAGAAGCTGCTGAGATTGGAAAGGGATCTTTCAAATACACAAAGGTCTGGGATATAATGAAGGTTAAGCATGAGTAATACCATTGATACTTCCCTGTGGATATCTGAACCCAGCAAGGAATACCAGCCATCACTTATGCCCCAGGATCCAGAGGTTTTATCAAAAATACAATTACAGGGACATCTCAGGCTGACTGTGCTGTCCTGATTATTGCTGCAGGTGTTAGTGACTTTGAAGCTGGTATCTCAAAGAATTACCACACCCATGTGTATGTTACACACTGGGTGTGAAATCTTTTTTTTTTTTTAAATTGGATTCCACTATGAAAACCTACCGTCAGAAGACATTAAAGAAGTCATTATCTAAATTGAGAAAACTGGTTTTAACCCAGACACAGTTTTGTACCAATTTTTGGTTGGAATTACGACAATGTTGGAGTCAGGTGCAGATATGCATGTATTTTCCCTGGCTTTCATCAGCAGCTTAGAAACAGAACTACGTTGGAGCTGGGAGGGATTCTTCCTTGCAGGTGTTCCCAACAAATTAATTTCCCTAAGACTCCCCAATGTCTTGGTAATGTTTGTTAAATATGAATAGTTTTTCCTATGTTCTCTCCAGTATTCCCAGTCTCTCCCCTCAAACAACATGCTGATTCTCAGATCATTTCTTAAAAGTGAAATGCATCCTCATCTTTATATAGCCCCTATTCTGGATTTGTTAAACCCAGTCCTTCAGCTACCAACTCTAGTACTAATTTCTAGGGCAGAGTATAGCAAAGGAACCCTTGCAGTGGCAATTCGTTGCAAGAGGAAATTGATCCTTATATTTATAGAGCTCCTAACTAGCACCAGAAACTCTTCTAGGCACTGGGAATTGTGTGAACAAGACCATGAAATTTCTTGCCCTCGGGGGGTGTACAGTATAATGAAAGATGTCTGACAGGGTTAAGGGGTATGCAGAAACCAAACAGTAAAAGGTTCAAGAGGGTGTTTGTGTTTGTGTCGTGTCTTTAGCTGTGGTGTCAAGGAAGTTCTCTCTAATGTCATATGTAATCTTAGAGCAGAATTCCTCTAGATATTCTTTGTATCCAAATAACTGTTCTATTTTGATTACGGAGTAGACAGGACTAACTCGCGAAGCAAGGGTGTGGTCACCAGCCGCCCTACCTGCAATGTGCGGCCTGGTCGGATACTGTTCTAGAAGTAGCTTGGGCTTTTCGAATCCATCCACTTGTTGCAGGCGACTCTCTAATTCCTTAAGCCTTAATTTCTTCATTTTTTAAAGACAAGTGTGGGCTGTCAGGGTTTAAGGGCACTGGATCTGCAGAGAAACCTATTTAACCTGGCTCTTCATCCCCCTACGCTGACCCCCGCCCCCTTTTCAGCGCCGCAGGCCGGGGACCCGGCAGGGGACGCCGGGCGCAAGGGACACACCCGGCCCAGGCTGTTCCCGCACTCCTCCTTGCGCCAGCGGCGGGCGGACTCTTCCGCCCGCCTCTGACGCGCCCCTAGGTATCCCGAGGGGATCTCGGGCTCCTCGCAGACACGCGTCGGCTCCGCCCTGGAGGCCTCGCAGGATTCCACGCGCCGCGTCCCGGGACTTCAGGAGGTTGCTGTCGCCTCGGCCGGGGCCGGAAGTGCCGCTACGCAGTCGCGCAGGCGTCCCGCTGCCCGGAGTCCCTGCGCCGATCTGCAACCACGGCCGCGCGCACAGGTTCCGCTGGCGACCCAAGCGCCTCGTTCACCTGCACCTGGGCGGGTCCGTACCACCGGTATAGCCCGCCCTTCTCGCAGTCCTCGCGCACACCTGTCGCGAAGGCATTACCCTCTAGCTTTTCTTTGAGTACCTGCAGGCCCTCAAAGGATGGGGGAAGAAAGAGGGTGAAAGTGATGGGGGAAGAGAGGATAAAAGTGAGGGTGAAAGTCACGGTTACTTTGTTTTAAATGCCCAGTGTGGTCCTTTCTACCTCTTGTCTCCCAAATCCCCTCTCAGAAGGTAGCGATCTCCACTCACCTTGCCTCCTTGAACACTTGCTTGTCCTACTTTAATATAACTTTGATTCCCTCTTTTTAGGTTACCTGTGTCACTTACCTCAACTCTCACAGGGTGGTGATGTCAGAGAAGCCCAAAGAAGACAGTTTAAATGAAGAAATAGGTGGTAGTGGTGTCACACGCTGGAAGAGGTCAGGCTTTCATGGAGTAGGAGCAGAAACCAAGTTGTAGTGGATTGTGGACAGAAAGGAAGGTGAGGAAGTAGAAAGAGTAAATGTAGCAGAGCCAGAGGGACCTACAACTAGAATATACAACAGTGTGTGTGTCGGGGGGTGGGGGCTTAGGGGAGAAGAAGAAGAAGAAGGAGAAGAAGAGAGGAAGATTGGCAGCAGATGTTAGCTCAGGTGCCAAGCTTTAAAAAAAAAAAAAGTAAATGTGAACAATTTTTTTTTTCTTTCTTTCTTTTTTGCTGAGGAAGACTGGCCCTGAGCCACCATCCATACCCATCTTCCTCTACTTTATGTGGGATGCCTGCCACAGCATGGCTTGACAGGCAGTGTGTAGGTCCACACCCAGGATCTGAACCAGCAAACCCCAGGTTGCTGAAGCAGAAGATGCGAACTTAACCCCTGTGCCATTGGGCTGGCCTCTAAATGTGAACAATTCTTAAGAAACACAGCTACTAAAAGAGGAGCGAGAATGGTTGATGCTTAGTAAGGTTGGGGGAAGTTTCTTGTTTTTTTTTTTTAATGATTGGAGAAGATGTGAACATACCTAAATTAAGACAGGATAAAGCTAATAGAAAGACAAGAGTTCAAAATACAATAAAGAGGATATTGGATGGAGTTAGGATCCTGAGAAGGTAGAATCCAGTGTTTAAGTGAAAGGATTGTCCTTAATCTGGGGAATGGTCCCTTCTTTTCATTATTAAAGGAAGAAAAAAAGGAGTGCATGGATGAGAATGAAGCAGAGAGAATGGTGTCTGAGGCTGCCACTTCCCGTGAAAAGTAGAAGTCAAAGTTGTCTGCTATGAAGATTAAATGAGTTAATACACATAAAGTTCTTTGCACATAAAATGCTTTGTCACATAACAAACGCCCAATAAATGTTATTGTTGGTGTTAGTGGTGATATCTGTTGAGAGAGAGGTGGCTGGAGCAAGGAGTTTGATCCAAATGGATGATGGAAACTAGCCAGATGTATGGAAGGACAACTGACCTGTCTGAGGTTGAAAGCTTTCTTTTTCTATTTTTAAAAATTAAATTATAATTTTTATTTTGAGATATAGATACATATGTAATCATAAGAAATAGCACATAGAGATCCTGTATATCTTTTATCCAGTTGCCCCCAATAATAACATTTTGCAAAACTACAGTACAGTATCACAACCAGGATATTGACACATACAGTCAAGACATTGCGTTTCCATCACCTCAAAGATCCTTCATGTTGCAGTTTTGTAGCCAAACCCACTTCACTCCAGCCTCCACCCGCTCCTTAACCCATAGCAGCTACTAATCTGTTCTCCATTTTTAGATTCTTGTCATTTTAAGAACTTTATATAAATGGAGGCATTCAGTATGCCAACTTCTCGGACTGGCTTTTTTTCACTCAGCCTGGAGATCCTTCCAAGTTTTATGTGTCTCGATAGTTTGTTCCTTTTTATTGCTGTGATATGGATGTACCACAGTTTAACTGTTTATTGAAGAACATCTGGGTTGCTTCAAGTTTTTGTCTATTACAAATAAAAGTGCTACGGAAATTTGTGTATAGTTTTTGTGTGAACATAAGTTTTCATTTCTCTGGGATAAATGCTTGGGAGTACAATTACTGGGTCATATGGTAATTACGTTTCGTTTTTTTAAGAAACTGCCAAACTGTTTTCCAGAGCAGCGACATCATTTTACATTCCCATTAGTAATATATGAGTGATCTAGTTTCTCTGCATCCTAGCCAGCATTTGGGGTTACCACTATTTTTCATTTTAGCCATTCAGATAGTTGTGTAGGGGTATCTCATTGTGGCTTTAATTTGCACTTCCTTAATGGCTAATGAGGTTGAACATTTGTTTTATGTGCTTATTTGCCATCTGTATATCCTCTTTGGTGAAATGTCTGTTCATTTCTTTTGCCCGTTTTCTAATTGAATTGTTTGATTTTTTTTTTTTTTTGCTGTTTTTGAGATTTCTTTATATATTCTAGGTACTAGACCTTTGTCAGATACGTGGTTTCCAAATATTTTCCCTCATTTTGTAGCTTGTCTTTTCATCTTCTTAACAGAGTCTTTTGCAAAACAAGTTTTTAATTTTAATGAAGTCCAGTTTATCAAGTTTTCTTTTCATGGATCCTGTTTTTGATGTCGAACTCTTTGTCTAGATCTAGAATTCAAAAAGATTTGCTCATATATCTTTTTGTAAAGGTTTTTATAGTTTTCCATTTTCTTTCTTTTCTTTTTTTATTTTAAGAGTGGCACCTGAGCTAACAACTGTTGCCAATCTTTTTTTTTTTTTCCTGATTTTTCTCCTCAAATCCCCCCAGTTCATAGTTGCGTATTTTTTAGTTGTGGGTCCTTCTAGTTGTGGCATGTGGGACATCACCCCAGCATGGCCTGATGAACGGTGCCATGTCTGTGCCCAGGATCCCAACTGGTGAAACCCTGGGCCACTGAAGCGGAGCGTGTGAACTTAGCCACTCGGCCAAGGGGCCAGCCCCTCAATTTTCTATTTAAGTCTGTGAATCTACTTTCAGTTATTTTTGTATCAAGTGTCATGATCAGATATAGGCTCTTTTTTTTTTCCCCCATGAATGTCCATTTGCTTCAGCACCATTTGTTGAAAAGTCTATTCTTTCTCCATTATTGCTTTTGCACCTTTGTAGAAAATCAGTTGAGTGTATTTGTTTGGGTCAATTTCTGGGTCTTCTAATCTGTTCTGTTGATCTATGTATCCATACATCATCTAATACCACACAATCTTGATTACTAAAACTAAATAAATCTTGAAGTTGGATAGGCTGATTCCTCCCACTATATTCTTTTTAAAAATTGTTTTAGCAAGGCCAGGCTGTTGGTGCAGCAGTTTAGTGTGCACGTTCTGCTTTGGCAGCCCAGGGTTCACCAGTTCGGATCCCGAGTGCGGACATGGCACTGCTTGGCTAAGTCATGCTATGGTAGGCATCCCACATGTAAAGTAGAGGAAGATGGGCATAGATGTGAGCTCAGGGCCCATCTTCCTCAGTAAAAAGAGGAGGATTGGCAGCAGATGTTAGCTCAGGGCTAATCTTCCTCAAAAAGAAAAAAATTGTTTTAGCTATTCTAATTCCTTTGCTTTTCTGGATAGATTCTAGGGTAATATTGTCTATATAACAGAAAATTTTCTGTTTTTAATATTTTAGTATTTTAATAGAAATTAGGTTAAACCTGTATATCGTTTATGAAGAGTAGACATCTTACTTACATTGAGTCTTCCAATCCATGAGCACAGTGTCTTTCCATTTATGTAGACCTCCTTTGACTTCTTTCATCAGTGTTGTGTAGTTTTCTGCATTTAAGTCCTGTACATATTTTGTTAGACTTACACTTAAGTATTTAGTTTTTATTTCGCACAAGAGTTAAGTGGTATTGCATTTAAGATTTTGGTGTCCACATGTTCCTTGAAATACATTTTTGTGTGTTTATCTTGTATCCTGAAATCTTACTAAATGTACTTATTAGTTCTAGAAAGTTTTTTTGTTTTTGGTAGATTCCTTGGAATTTTCTATGTAGAAAATCATGTTTTCTTCGACTAGGAACAAATTTGCTTCTCATCTCCTTGCCTTTTATTTCCTTCACTTGCCTTACTGTATTGACTTGCACTTCTAGTGCTGTGTTGAATAACGTGGTGAGAGTGGACAGCTTTGCCTTGCCTCCAGTTTTAGGGGAAGAGCATTCATTCTTTCACCATTAAGTATAGTGTCAGCTACAGTTTTTTGTAGACATACATCATCAAGTTCAGGAAGTCTCTATTCCTAGTTTTCTGAGAGTTTTGATCATGAATTTTGTGAAAGACTTTTTTTTTACATCAATTGATATCACATTGATATGATCATGTGATTTTTCACCCTCAGCCTTTTAATATGGTGGATTACACTGACTGATTTCCAAATATTGAACCAGCCTTTCATTCCTGGAATCCTATTTGGTCAGGATATATAATTCTTTTTATACATTGTTGAATTCTACTTGCTAAAGTTTTATTAAAGATATTTGCATCTATATTTTGATGGCTATTTGCCTGTACTTTTGTTTTTTTGTTCTGCCTTTGTCTGGTTTTGGTATTAGAGTAATGCTAGTTTCATAAAATGGATTAGAATATGTTCCCTTCTCTTCCATTTTCTGGGAGAGATTGTATAGAATTGGTGTTAATTCTTCTTCAAACATTTGGTAAAATTCTCAAGTAAAACCATCTGGGCCTGGAAATTTTGGAAGGAGGAGTTTTTAAATTATGAATTTAATTTTCTTCTTAGTTATAGGGTTATTCAAATTATCTATTTCATATTGGATGATTTGTAGTAATTTTTATTTTTCAAGGAATTGGTCCATTTCATCCAAATTGTGAAGTTTACGTGTGTAGAGTTGTTTGTAGTATTTCCTTGTTATCCTCTAGGGTCTATAATGATATCCTCTGTTATATTCCTTATTATTGTCAGATGAGAGTGGAAATGTAGGCTCCCTATGTGGTCTCCACTGACATCTAGGGGTGGGAGGAGTGGAGGGTGGGGCGGGGCCCTTAGTTCAACCTGAAGAACGTGGAAGTCTAGGCTCCCCACTGGGACTTTGCTAATATGGATGTAGGTGGGACCACAGTGTTTTCTGTGGTGTTTGACTGGAGTAGAGCAGTTATTGTCTAAAAGTTTTCTATCTTGTTAGGCTGCACTTTCCTTTTTTGTCTGCACCTGTTGGCACTTATAAATTGCTGGCTTCTTAACTCCAAGTCAGGGTTATATGAGGCAAAAGGAAAACCAAGGGAACTTACCCACTGTGTTCTCCCTTTGATCTCAAGGTCTCTAGCCAGTCTGCCTTCTCTCCCTTTTCAGAGTCTTTTTATGTTTGTTTTATATATAATGTCCAGGTTTTCAGTTCTACCCAGGGATAAATAAGGAAAAATATATCTACTTTATCTTCCTGTAAGCAGAAGTACTATAGGCCGCATACGTATTTTTTAATTGAGGTAAAATTTGTCATTTGAAAGTATAGAATTCAGTAATTTTGAAGTATATTTACAAGGTTGTACAACCAACAGCACTATCTAATTCTAGAACATTTTCATCACTCGAGAAAGAAACTCCATACCCATCAGCAGTCACTCTCTTTTCCTCCTCTTTCCCTAGCACTTGGCAATCACTAATCTGCTTTCTGTTTTTATGAATTTGCCTATTCCAAACATTTCATATAAATGAAGTAATATGTGTCCTTTTGTGTCTAACTTCTTTATTTAGCATGTCTTCAAGGTTCTTCCATGTTGTAGCATGTATCAGAATTTTGTTCCTTTTTATGGCTGCATAATATTTCATTGTATGGTTATACCACTTTTGTGTATCCATTCATCAGTTGATGGACAATTAAGTTGCTTTGACTTTTGACTATTATGAATAATGCTGATGTAAACATTCATGCACAAGTTTTTGTGTGAATATGTTTTCAATTCTCTTGAGTATATATCTAGGAGTGGAATTGCTGGATCATATGGTAATTCTATGTTTAACTTTTCGAGGAATACCAAACTATTTTCCACAGTGGCTGCACCATTTTACCTTCCTACAAGAAATGTATGAGAGTTCCTGTTTCTCCATATCCTCACTAACACTTATTTTTCATTTTTTAAATTATAGCCATCCTAGCAGGTGTGAAGTAGTAATTCATTATGGTTTTCTTTTTCATTTCCCTGATGGCTAGTGATGTTGAACATCTTTTCATATGCTTATTGGCTATTTGTATATCTTCTTCAGATAAATGACAATCCAAAATCTTGCCCATTTTTAACTTGTATTATTAGTATTTTTATTATTGAGTTGTGAGAGTTCTTTATATATTCTGGATACTAGATCCTTATCAGATATATGGTTTGCAAATGTTTTCTCCCATTCTCTGGAATTTTTTTTTACTTTCTTGATAGTGTCCCTTAACATCCAAAAGTTAATCTTTTTTTTTCTGAGGAAGATTGGCCCTGGGCTAACATCTATGCCAATCTTCCTCCACTTTATATGCAGGTTGCTACCACAGCATGGCTGATGAGTGGTGTAGGTCCGCACCGAGGATCCAAACCCACAAACCCAGGCTGCTGAAGTGGAGTGTGCTGCATTTAACCACTACGCCATAGGGCCAGCCCCAGAAGTTTTTAATTTTTGATGATGGTCAAATCTGTCTTTTAGATATTATATCTGAGTAACTGTTGGCTAATTGAAGGTCACAAAAGTTTATACCTATGTGTTCTTCTAAGAGCTTTCTAGTTCTGGTTCTTACACTTAGATCTTTGATCCATGTTGGGTAAATTTTTGTATATGGTATGAGGTAGAGGTACAAACTGATTCTTTTGCATGTGGATATCCAGATGTCTCAACACAACTTATTGGAAAGATTATGCTTTCTCCCATTGGACGGTCTTGACATCCTTGTAGAAATCAACTGAGCATAGATGTATGAGTTTATTTCTGGACTCCCAATTCTATTTCATGATCTATATGTCTGTCCTTATGCTATCTTGATTACTATATCACACTGTCGTGATGACTATAGCTTTGCAGTG